ACACTAACTTTTTTCTCTTTGATCAAACATTAGTCTCCTTTCTTTTACGGTTTTATTTAAAATGTAATAAATTGGGAACAATATGTTTGCATTCAGATACCTCTGACTTTAAAAAGGTAAAATAATCTGCAAAACGGACCGCTATTATCGTATTTTCGTTTGAAATAGAATTGGTTTCACATTAACGAAAAGCAAAATGCGAACAAATAAGAGGAAGGAAGTTCAACTAGAGCGCTTTATTATCCAAGTAACATGTCTAACTGCTCAATAAACTGCTGACAAAAGACATTATTTGTTAGAGTTAATGAATCTGATCCCTCTAATGATGTTGATCATTGAGTTAGTAGTTCACGACGATAGCACGTTTGGTCCGCTTCCTGAAAGAGAATTACAGATAAAAAAATTGAGACCTTATACTAATATAAGAAGAATGTAAGAATTAGTGAAACTAAATTAATGAAATTAAATAATACTTGAGGAGAATTTTTCTGATTTGAAATAAATAAGATAAATAATTTTAAACTTTATCTAATTTACATGCACACCTTGTTTTATGGCGCTTCAAAATGTAATAATATGCTTTTTTAAGCACCTCAGAGAAAATCATTTTGAAGTGTTTATTGTTCCCAGTTTGCGAGTTTCATGTCTTATCAAAAAGAAAATATTGCTCATGAGGAAAAGTTTTTTATAACGCTTCGTGCTCAAGCAATTCCACGAAAAAGGTGAAAAGTTGTGACTTTGATTATTAAGTTTTCTCTTTATTAAATACGTGCACAGGTCTACATGTGGCTCAATTTGTAGAGACATTAGGTTAATTGGAAGCAGGAGCAGTAAAAAATGAATAACGTCTCGCCAGGAATCTAACCACGGACCTCTGAAATAACCACGGACCCAGCCTGCAGACCACCACACCACGAAGGCATGCTAAGAAGGCGGGAGAAATACCTTATAAGTTTACTGTGAAGTAATATCAAAGTAAATTTTTCTAGTATCCTGCTTGCCAGTTTGAACAGCTCTTTTTAAATATAAGCTATTATGATCTATATTTTTTAATTCCTGGGGATTTAATTTTTAAAATCCACCTTAATTAATTAGTTACTGTAATTGGCTTACTGTAACTGCTTAGATTAATTATTTCCAGTATTAAACTGAAATCTTCATGCCAAGATTAGATTCTAATTTCATTTTTAGTCTTAGACTTAAAAATATTTTTAATTATAAGACTTAAAAATATTTTTAAATATTTTTAAACTCTAAACATTTTAAATTTATAACTCTTTGAAGTGTTAGTTGTAATCTAAATTTTTCAAATTGGAATTGTTCTTTGCTTTTAACGAATTGAATGTATCATCAAAAAGAATCAAAGTGCATACATAGCGAGCCAAAATGTTAGCGAAGGCGAAAATGTGTTATCCAGCCTATTATTCCCTTTTTTATGCGTCTGTGCTCAGTATTGATTAAGTTGCAATATAAATTACGAATTAGCTGAACCAAAAACATTTTGATTTGTAAGTTCCATTCGTAAAAAATAATTCATATCGTTGACTCTACGAGTGTATTTAATCAAACACAGAAACGGGAAGTTCATGACTCAGAATATCACTCACGTCACGAAACAGGAACTTGCTGGGATGGATAACATAAAATGATGGATGAAAGTTTAAAAGGCGAAATCATTACTTATTCATAGAATGAGATTAACTTAACAAATTTTCTGAAAATGAGAAAGCAGACGCAGTTGCTTTAAATCAATCAAAATAAAATTAAATTGTGAATGGAAACATAAATTAAAAAGATCTAGTATCTGTTAGGTGTAATTTAGTTACAAACTACAAACTAACTTTTAGTATGAGACATTTACAATTTAAGACTACTGGGACGTTACGCTGAAAATTTTTGGGACAATTTCCCAACAAAGTTTTTTTTTTTTTTTTCATTTTGACAAAACAAATCTTTCTTCCAGCATTGGAATGTGATATATTTCTATCTGTCTATAATAAAATTTTGTATATCTTCATTAATTTCTGTATGATACGCTAAAACACTGAATGTGCAAAAACGCAAGGTCTAAAACCCATATCTGCGGATTATTTCCATAGGTTAGAGGATAGCCAGTACTGGTTTAGAACTTGTTGTAGAAGAATGATTGAGAATTTATATAAAAGCTTAAATGAAAAAAAAATAAATGTTATGAGAAAAATGTTAATGAGAAAATTGTTTCTACTTTATTTCTTTATTTAACATCTGAAAATAGTAAAGTTCTCACCTTTTCTGAATACTTAACTCAAGCTGTGCGCCTATTAACTAAATCAATTGTTACAGAATTATATTTCTCAATGTATACATTTTCACAGCCAGAAATAAAAGCCAAGCTAAACAGTAAGCCGAGATATTTTTGCTTCCTTTTTCTATTCGCAAAATTATGTAGCTCAGAAGAATTCACAATTCAGATAAGGGCTGTAATTTATAAAACTGACGACTGAAATAAGTTTGAAACAACCGACGTCTGGACGTTTATAAGTTTAGTTAATCCAATAAGCTTACTCTTCTATTAAAAAAGTTGTGAAAATAACCTGAAACGTGAATGAGGCTTGCAGTAATTGAACTTGATAGATCAAAAGAAGTAATAAATAAAGTGATATCATTTAGTAACTCGTAGTTTCATGTTCTAGTGCTTAGGAAATTGGAATATCTTTTTCCGACCATTCAACGGGATGTCGCCATTTGAACAAAAAGCAACTCAGCAGAGCAGCTTGAGTTTCTTTCATTAAATCTGATTCCTACCGTGCGACAACCAGTTTTTATATGCAAGATATTTCATCCTCTATTCTCATTGTTGTCTCTTGTCAAGATAATTCCGTAGAGTTAAATATTTTCAAACGATTCCAGTTATTCAAAAGGATGCGACAGATATTTTCAAACAGGATATACTAGAGTTAATATATATTACGATCGATGTCACTTCGAAAATTTACCTGTGCCATAGTTTATTACATTTTAAATGGAATTGCCCTATAAGGAACTTCTGGGAAACTTTTGAACATCGGAATATTAAAATCAAGCGGAAAACGTTAAAAGTTTGGTTTTGAAACTATTAGTTTTCTCGTCAGCTCTATTTCTTCTGTCTATTTAAAAAAAAAAAGACTTAGGAAGTTTAGACATAACTAACGCAGTTCTGCCATTATTTGGCTTTACTATAACTTCGTACTTTCGTCAGCTTCCACCAGAATACAAATTATATTAAAAATAAGTTTTGAATTTTAAGCTTGACAGCATAGGTTGCCCCTCATTTTTTTATCCGCTGTTGCAATTTAATTTATCGGCGTTAAGTTTTTATGAATACAAAATTAACTTTTAGTTAATAGTCTGATAGAAGGAAATTTATTCAGAGGTCTTCCACAGTTATTCAAATTAGAGCAACGGCGTAACGTATCACTAACATGCTCTAATTATATTTCCGTACAATTATGGATATCAACATTGTAACAATATTGTCGCCGATAGAATTACCATAGAAGGATGCATATGATTCCAGAGAGATTCTCTCAAATTGTGTTATTTCCAAGCCCGAAGCATCTTCTTAAATAATCAATAAATTTTCGTTTTCTGTGCAATGTTAAGCTGAAACACGAAAAGAAGAGAAAACACTTAAAGGAAAACATCTATTGATACTTATAAGGTTTGCTCTCTCCTTCTAGCATGCCATCGTGGTGAAACTGTGGCACGCTCGGTGCGTGTTTGAGAGGCCCAGGTTCGAGTTTTGGTGAGGTCATTGAACATTTCTCTCTTCTCCAACTTCAAAGTAATCTACTGTCTCTACAACCTTAATTGCAATATAACTATCAGCTCTGAAGAGGCTCATATGTTTTAAAAGACAATTGTTCAGCCAGAATCTATATTAAAAAAAAGAGGCATACGCATCTAAACTACTTATGCAAACCTGAGTTTTTTCTTGACTTGTTAAGTCGCTCGAGATGTTGTAAGCAAACAAAGAATGAAAAGTATTACTTTAATCTGTAATACTAATTATTCTTAGTTTGGTTTAAAAAATTCGAATCTAGATATAGTAGAAAGAGCTAAACAGACTTGTCATCTTCAGTCCTCTCTTAAAATGGTACTGCCATGAAGTAGCATTAGTTGCATTATTTTGATTTTAATTAATTGTTTATACTTTCGTAATCTCATTCTCTAAGCCCTACTTAATGACACTGCAAACTGTAAATAGATATAATTATTTAATGTACAATTAGCGTGTGTTGATTTCTATTAGTTAGCATAAATTATTTTCCATCTTAACAATGTGTGAATCATCATTAATCTTTAACAATAATTTAAGGATTTTAAAAATGAAGTACTGATTAGAACCCTAAAAATCCGTCATTCTCTTTTCGTAAGATGCAACACATGAAAACTAAATTTAATCTTTAGGAATACATAACAAAATATTGATCTCGTACTTGAGTAGAGATTAATTTATTTGACATACGCAAGTATGGTAATATGAAGCCTAAAATGAACCAGATTAAACTCAATATTGACACGTTTTTCAGGAAAATACTGTGTACATTCCGAGAAAACCTGCTACATAACCTTTTCATCGAGATCCAATTTGAAGGGAATTTCACCAATAAACGGCATCATAATTTATTAATTAATTAGATTTTAAGTGGATAACGTTAATAAATTGGATTCTACATAATTCGATGAAGCTTTAAATGTGCAGGAGATATTCCTATAAAAAAGCAATCTATAATAGTCTGGTTAATTCAAATAAAAAAAAACATTTCTAATATCGATTTCAAGTAACACGTGACAGTCTCATGTAACAAGTCACGGTATCAACAATACCACGACATCAATATGCAGTAATTCTTAGCGCGCAAAGAGAGAGAAATAATTCCCAATGTTAACATCCCTATCATTTGAACGCACTTTCAGGAAATCTTTCTGCTTGAATTTAAAGCAACATATTAAATTATAAAATATTACTTGTATTTCAGTACAACAGAAGACAGCGATGTTATGGGCTATGATGTTCCAGCTGGTATGACGGTTATCGCCAACATCTACGCCATACATAATGATCCAGACTATTGGGATGAACCTCATCTTTTCAAACCAGAGAGATTTTTATCAGAAGACGGAAAGGAAGTCGTCAAACATGAGTGCTGGATACCGTTTTCGCTAGGTAAGAAAAATATACAATTTCTGAAGATGTATTTTGTCTTAAAATTTATATACTTTTAAAATCTTTGTTTCTTAGAACTCTAGCTCAGTGCAAGGTAATGTATTTTAATGTTCTAAAGACGGAATGATGTATCTGTGATGTATCTGAAGTTTGTACAGGATTTTTCTGATGTGAAAATTTACATATGTTTATGACTTTGATATTAGAATTTTCTACTATCTCGTTTATCAGTTTTTATATTACACCCCGAGGCATTTGTAATTCATGCGGTTTGGACAAGAAACGTGTTCTGAAATGTAGTGTACTATTTTTAATTTATTTTTTAAATTAACGCTCCCCATGAGGTGGCTATCAAACGTTATTTCTGTGTTGACGAACGTACCATACGACATTACTAATATTTATTTATTAATTATATTAATATTGGAAATATTCATAAAATAATTAATTCGTATATTATAAAACAATGTTTCTCAAACTGTGGGTCATGACCACAAATGGAGTCGCAAAGTGAAATGTTGAGGTCACCAAAACTAATTCAGATACACGAATTTAAAGAAATTAAATTAATGAGGCGTTTAAAGAAATTGCATAAATTTACATTAATGAGATTAATCACTTTCCATATAACGCCCTAAACGAATTTCTTGAGCTGTTGAATGACGTAAACTTATAACTGCTGAAATGAAATTATATGTTTTTCTGCAATTCAGCACTACACACTTACTTGAATAAACGTTTTCAGCTTTAGTTCCTTTCAAATGATGTAATGCTGAAACACGTTGCAGGGTATTATTATTATATTTCACTAAACAATTACTTTGCTTTGGATCTTTAATGTTACTTTCCCTGTCAGAATGTAAATTAGGTAGAAAGAGAAAATATTTTAAAGGAATGTTTAAGCAGTTTAATTCAAAGTGTGTTCTGCCTCTTGAGGCCCCCTTGTTGCTAGGTTGCTGATGGTTCAGATAGGATGGTCTTTGGCCTTACATTATAACTGCGGATACTTGAGCATCTGTGCGAGTTAGATTTGTGAGCCAATTTCGCGTTAAATTGAAGTGTGCGGTTTTTTACTCCTAGCGCTTAATTTTAAATTTGAACTTACCCTTACTTCAAGTTACATCGCAAAAGGGGTTGGCTGAATTAAGCATTAAATGAGTCGTGCATTTAAGTTTAGTTTCTGATTTAAAAAATCTGGTGTGTACACCACATGACTTCCTTGTACGGAATTCCTTAATTTTTACTAGATATATAGTTCTCACTCAATGAATTCAGTTCTCACTTCGCGATAAGACAAAAATACATAAAACCTCAAAATATCTTTACTAAAAATTGAAAATATCGAAACAGATAAAACACCAAATACAGTTAAAACAATTAAAAATAATTCTTGCAATTAAAATTAGAGTGTCTACGCAAAAACAAGCATTTCAGTCAACAAGCAAGAAGGCAGATTGTTTCGGTGCACAAAACTAAAAGTTTACTTTTGGTCCCACTCGACAAGGAGAAACTGAAGTTAGTGCAGAAACTGACATAATTTACTATTCTGCTAAGTTTCAAATGTAAACAAATATGGCTCCTATAGTAAAACAATTTAGCTTAGCCACATTTAAACAATTTTCAAATAGTTGATGATTCTACAAATATTGCATCCACATTAATTAAAGGCATAAAAATTTAATCAGAAGAAAAGAAAAACGTAATTAAATCATTTTTAAAGCAAAAAATGCACAATTTACAAACTTATAAGAATTAAAATACTGTGCTCGCGGAGCCGAGTAACTGAGTGGGTGTATATATATGTGATGTACCAGCTTTTGTCAGGAATAAATAGATTGTTGAAGAGTCATAAATGTAGTCGTAGCTTAAATTATCAGACGATAAGTTTAAAAAATAGGATCCATTTATTATTGGTCAGGAGAAATAGCAGTTACAAAAATTAAGATATCCGGAGTAAATAAAAAAGAATTACTAATAACTTTTTGTATTAAGTTTACTGCATCGTTACATTAAAGAAAAGACCCCGATATTCCTTTGCGAGTCCTTTTATAGCCTCTGGAAAGGCGGAGCTTCCAAGAAATGACGTCAGTCTCCTCAGCCAATCCAGTTCGCTTTAAATATTTCCAGAACATTCTATAACTGTACGTGTAGAAAAGGCGGGAAAACAACTTGACTACGGGGCTGTGGATTTAATTCCACGTACTTTCAAATAAGAGATTGTCGGCATTAAAAATGAAAAGAACATACAGTTAGAAATTTAAGTGTATTCTTGACTATGGAATTTTATTATTACATATAAATATATATATATAGATAGATAGATATAGATATAGATAGATAGGTATAGATATAGATATTGTTACGAAATGTACAGGAGGGGTTAGATAGCTTTTCCGCAAAGCAGTTTTAGGGTTTGCCATAAAATGGTAAGGGACGGCAGGGTTGCCACGTTTGGCGAGAAATCGCCAATTTGGCGACATTTGGCGATATACCATGGACGGATGGAGAACCTTCTGGAACGAATTCTTACCGGTTTAGTCCAGAATGTTCTCGAACACAAGCCGAAAGCTATATAAACCCTGCTGTTACGTCGAGTTAGTTAGTGCCTCGTCTAGCGAGCTGATAGTCAGTCACTGAGCAAGTGTCTCGAAGTCTAGCGCCGAGTTGGTCGTCGAGTGCATCGAGAGAGTCTTTAGAGTATCGCGAGTTAGTGCATCGTCGAGTTTTGTCTTAGAGTGTGCTGAGCTCCGGAAACGACTAAACCGAGTCGACAGCTGTACTCTTGTGTATCGTCAAGTGCACAGCGAGTGGTAGCGGGAAGAGTCTCGAGAGCACGTAGAGTTCCGAGAACGACCGAGGAGAGTCGGGAGCTGTACTCTAGTGCTTTGCCGTGAAGCTCTCTCCACCGTTATAGCCTGATAACCTGAAGGCCGTGTCGCTGATTGTTCCAGCGTGTTTATTGTATTTCTTCAAAGACAGTGTACAAGTGACTTTGGAGCTGTCCGGATTAATATCGGCTAAATAAAGTGTGTTTCAATACTTCATCAAGTGTCGTCGTTATTCACTCCAAATCTACGAACCCCGTACGAACGTGAAGGAAGAATATAACGTAACAATATGTATATATATATATAGTTTTAGTGCTACTAATCGCAACCAGAAAGGGATGTGCCCAACTGCATGTTATAGCAGGCATATATAGAAAATTCCAATGTTCTGAGTCTACTCGTTTCTGAGTTATGCGAGATATATACACACGTACGTTCGTACAGACGTGACGAAAAACTCTATTCTGAATCCATTTTAAATCATTTCTGTAACCCGCTTTGGGAAAAAGAGTCCTTTATTCTGTCCTTACGTACAGATGTCACGCAAAAACATTGTTAAATTGCATTCGATAGCGGTGAAAATGAATATTTTCGCTGAAATACGATACTAGAAAATTTTTTTGCGAATGCAATACTTCCTTTACTTCGTACAAGGAAGTAAAAAGGTTTGTTTTTAAATCTTCTTGAGACTCTGTCCTTAACTTTTAGACTTGGAGATAATTCACTGTTGGTCTATATAAAGTTTGGTTCTAGTCCATGAGAGCTAAGAAAACTAAACTTTGTAACTCTGAAAATTATTTTCGTCCAGTAGTGTCGAATAATTCACCAAGATTTAATTTGTTTTGCAGAAAAAGTTCACAGACTTTTTTATTAAAACGGGCTTTTCGTTCAATAATTTTTGTACAGGGGAGCTAGGTGTCAGTTGTAACACGATTTTTACGCTGTGGTTTTTAACATTTTTTTATCAGAATTTTCATTAAACATGGTTATTATGACAGGTTCTATTACGTAAGAGTAGTCAATGCCCCATCCAAACGAGTAGTGAAGGGTCTTGTGCTCGTGCTTTGTCTTAGCTACTTACTAGGAGGAAAATAGTTCTTTAATTTTGGTTTAAGATAATTAGTTGATTGTTTTTAGAAATGGTTTTATCCATTTATTTGTCTGTGTATTAAGTTTTTGCTTTATTATTTTTACTGATCGCAATCTTCTTTCACAAATCAATAAAAATGTCTGAAACCGTAAGATAAGGCAAGGTAACAAACTCTCGGGGCAAGTTATGATATAAAAATCCGCAATTGTAATTGAGAAATCGTAAATATATTTAAGCGTATAAATATCTTTCCCAAAAATTGTTACAACTAACCCCTAGCTCCCTTACTTGAAACAAATCGTAACACTGCTTCATTTCGATATGTGTATTATTTACCAAAAAAGTAAATTATTTCTGAGAAAATATTTATATTTATATACTTATTCTATATTTAACATCCGGGGTAGCGAAAAGGTAGGTATGTAAAAAATGGGATTATGAATGAAAAAAGTTTAAGAAGCGCTGTTATCAAACATAACATTCGATTAATTGTAAATTACATTATTTTGAAGTACTATAACATTAATAAACCATGTTATTAAAAAATAAAACGGAATTATACATTATTAAAGAGTTCATAAATCGCCTTTTAAATCACTCACTCAATTTAGCAATATACCGTTTTCATTTCAAAGATGCAATTAATGTTTCAAGGAATGTAAAAGACAACACCTTTGACATTCTAGGTAATTAATGAAAGATGTCGTGCCTCGTGGAATTGATCGGGAGCTTAAATGCTCTAGTAGTGTAACTTAACGAACCTAAAAGTGAACAAAATGTGAAAGACAAAGATACAAACGTTTATAACATCAAAGCTGCGCATTGCATATCAAACGGATCTTAGACCAGGGGTTCCCAACCCTACGCCTGCGGGCACCATGGCGTCCGCCAAACATTTTGCCTGCCGGTGTGCGATTACAATAAAAATGTTTTACTTTTCAATAAAATTCTATCTGAAAGCTTTCTCATTTTTAATGAAATAAAAATTGCACCCAACACAGATAACAGTACAAAGCGAAATGTGACCGATCTCCTTTTTTGTGTTTACGTATCGAAGGTGTAACTAACAACTATATTTTACC